CTCTGATTTCAGAAGTGTATTGCAAACAAACATTCAATATTTAATAAAGTTCATTCTTAGTGGAAATAATACTGCTTGGATACTGTAGCTGTAATTCTGATAGTATAACTAGGCATTGACAACAGTACCTTGGGGAACAAAAACATTTTTCAAAGCAGTATTACTCCTGCGGGTAACATTTTTTGTCTTGCAAGTATCATTTTGGCAGTGATAAAGCCAAAGATGCAGGTTACTTACTTCATATGAATAACACATACAAGATAAAGCTAACCAAAATTCCTTTTCTGAATGCACAAATCCATCTTTCTTAGTTTGATACAACTTGTTGGCAAAAATACAATGGCTTCTGGGAATAAAATAGAATCCGTGGCTAAAATCATCACAGTGTTACATTAATGATATTTCAAGTAAAAAATTGCTGGTTATTCATTGCTTGGAGCAAGAGAGGAAATAGTTTCAGTTTTCATGGAGTATATCAGACTGGACACAACAACATCGTAGCACTTGAAAAGACCCCTGTACAGTCAAGCTTTGCCAGAGGGTTATCGTCAACTAATAATATAAAAAAACTTCATGGGTTTTACCCTGTGGTCTTCTTATTAGGTATCTTGTATTACTGTAATACCCCAAGTCCACAGAGTGCTTTCTTTAGACTTCCAGGATTATGTTTTAACTCTAGAATGCAATAAAACCAACCCCCTGCGCAGAATATGAATACTAGTAAAGATATTGAGTGATTATTGCTAATGTTAGAAGTGGTTGAACATATTTTCAAGAGTCCTTTAAAGCTGCAGTAACCATATCACAAACAACTGAGTTATTAAACTAAAAATGAGAAGCAGATCCAGTATTACTCTTTACAAAGAAAGAACTACTGAAAAAAGCTAAACAGCCTTACCTACAGAACACGGTAACAAAGCAAAGAGCAATATTATTCAGATGAATAAAACAATCTTACAGATATACAATTAACTGCAAACTACTGAGATAAAACATTATTCCCCAATTAAAACCTAGATGCTCCATTTACAGCTTTTACAAAATGCATGTTAATACAAGTGCTTCTGGACATCCACATTTGCTACACTGCGTCTTTGAAACACACAGTATTATAAAAGGAGCTTAAAACTCCAGCCACACATATTTCAAATTCCAGGACTGCGAGCTGGCAATAACACAGCAAGGTTATTTGAGCGAGTTCCCATTTCTAAAATCACTTGAGCACATGAAAGAAAACTGTGTGGAAGAAAACTTTACAATTAGCAGTTGCATTAATAAAGTGTTAGACACCTTGAACACGGTTACAGTAGACACGTTTCTGCCACCTGAAGGAATTTTAGAGACACCAGTTGTATCTAGTGTAGTTCTTGCACATCAGCAGGAAATGTCAGCTTTCAGAGAGCGAGATGGAGACTCTCTGGCAGCACAGGAATAATTAGCAGGAATCCCACAAGGAAGCTTCAAATTTTAATTCTAAACTAATGCCACAGACATGGATCAGAGACACTGGGATTAATGGTGGCAATAAACTCAAAGTCTTCAGAACATTTGTATACATGTGTACTCAGCAGATGGGAAATAAAGACAGAAGGGTCAAAAACTTAGTTTGGAATTACTTTCCCACACTGAAAAACTGTGCTTGTACTCACCCTCACATCTCCATTGGCAGGCCTGGTGCTGTGACTGAATGCATGGACAGGATCCTTGTGGTACACTTTTAGGCAGGAGTGAGCCGTAATATTCCTGGAATCAAGGACATCAATAACTACGGATGAGGACAGCAGATTCATGTGAGCGATTTACAAGGGCTTCTAGTTTGACAGTGAACTAATGAGGGCTCCAAACGTATGAGACAAATTTGAACAGATATTCCATCCCATTTGTCGAGGAGCCCAAACCTTTACAACAGATCAAATATCTCTTGTCTATGTGGTCTGTGGGTTTACTACCACACCCATGAGGTCATGTGGCAGTAATTTGAATTCACCCTTTCAATACAGGAAAAGGACAGCAGGCACAAAGTACAGATTTCATGCTACAAAACGTCAAGGGTGGGGGGGGTGGGGCATGACTGTGAAAATTGTTGACATTTACCTTGCTGTGCTTGTTCACTTAGGGCAAGAAAGGCAAACAGAACAGGTTTCAAATAGACTGTGTTCACAGCTCTCTTCCTTCACTCATCATAAACAACATATCAACTCCTGCACCAATGTTCAATTAAAGAGTCCAATGTTCGCCACAGTACAGTCAGACAGGAATGAAATACGAAAAAATACACGTATTCCACTGCAGCTTCAAATCCTGAGGTTTTTCTCTAAACCCCATGGGAAAAAAAGTCTCTATTAAGGATAAGTATTTTTCTAAAAATGCAATCCTTTCATTTCAAGTACTGCATCTGAAAAACTCATGGTTATCCCGCAGTCAGGGGTATGATTAAACATTTATGATCTCATATGATGCCAGGCTGTTAACTGTTAAGACATGCTTACCTTTAAGGGACTACTGCATGTGAAATCTTTCAGCCTTGAGTCTCTTTGATAACGCAAATGAATCACCATGTAATCAGCCACAGCTGATCATGAGGTCGTAACAGTATAAAGAATCCCAAACACCCAGTGGTGCACAGTTTCCGAATCTGTCTGGCTGTACAAGAGTTCCTTCATCCCATGTGCAGTGTGCTTCTTTTCCTAAATCGACCAATCCCAGTTTTCAGGACTGTTAAAAAGCAATGCGTAATGAAGGATAACAGGGTTGCCCTCATTCCCTCCTGTAAGGGCCCTTCTGTACATGAACCGATGGGATGGCATATCTAGCCAGTTAGAACATGCAGCCTTCCATGAAAACCAAGTTCTCGGCAAAACATCAAACAGAGGCTGCCCTCCCACCTATTGTTACACACAACAGTGGGAGAATCACACCCGTCTGGAGATCCTGAAAAGACCGGAGGCCAGGGGGGAGAGTCCTCAACAACAGAAATGTAATAGGGCCCTTGTAAAGTAATGAGTAAAACACACACAGAAACACACAGACATCAAAGATTTTCCGGTGCCTGCAAAGCAATAAAGACAATGCTGGCTAAGTGCTAACAATTACATACTGTATTACGGAGGTACTGAAAGATAATCAGTGCAGTCTTTGATTCTACCGACTGTTGAACTTAATGTTAAAAGCAGGGATGTTCACAACTTCAAATTCAACTCAATTTTTAATATAAAAAATACAGAAAATATACCAAAGTATGCCATTTCTGTATTATTCATATGTTTTCATTTCCTGTTAAATCCTTGCTAAGAAAAGCAAATGTTTTGCCATTTTCTTTTCACAGATGTGACGACAAATGTATTAGGAAATGTATCATCTGCTGTTTCTTGTGCCTTCATTTTTCATATTGGGTTTATATGATCCTTTTTCACCTTTAGATTCTTTGTCAGTGTACAGTATGTAAAGACAACTAATCTAGGCAAAACTAAAATCAGGTAAAGGACAGCTTTTTAGTTTGCTTTGTGTACTGGCAAGCATTTAACTGCCTGGCCATGGTCAGCTATTTGCCTAAAGAGAAAGATAAAGATGATTCCACTATTTCACAACTTCTACAAATCCAGAAAAAATCCCACAAAGGAACAGTCACAAATGTGTTAAAAAAAAAAAAAAACTTTGACGAAGGAGACAATCCCAAACTGCTGACCCTGTATAATTATGGACCACACACCCCTCTAACACTGCCCTTGACACAGCCTCTTGAAGTACTACACATGGGGCTTCTATCTCACGCCAACTAGTTTAACACCGACCTCTAAACTGTGTTTGTGTGGGTTTGCTCTGCAATGGACTGGCACCCCATCTATGGTATAACCCAACTTTGCACCCTATACTTCCACGACAGGAGAAAGAACAAGCAGTTTGTGACAAACGACGAAACAGCAGCGGTACAAACGCATATATCCAGTCATAATCCGGCCTAAAATAATTTAAGTCTTGACTCACCCAGCTTCTAACTCAGTTACTGTGTCAGAGGATCTTAAAAGTAAGAAATACGGTGTCTGTAAATGACACACCAGAAGGTAATGTGAGGAATACAATGACTGATCTTGTTTAGAGGTTTTCTAATTATCAATCTTTACAAAAAAAAAAAACAAATTTACCTACCTTACATCAGAAAGCTCGTAATACATGTTCCGCATATCATCCTTAATGTACACCGCAACATTAGGAGACTCCAGCATCTTCATGGTGAGCTGCTGAGGGAAGGCACTTACGAACAGAGCACGGATTGTGTCCGCACTCGTTATTTCATTTGGCATTCTCATCTGTTTGGTTTCATCTCCATACTGAAGATACAGCACACCTGCAAAGCAAGACCAGACACACCACACAAATCAATCGTGGATTTATCACTGATATCCTGCTGTATCAAACAGAATGGAAAACAAACACGGCAGCGCACGCCACAAAAGGCACGACGCAATTCTGCATGTTGAAGCTGACATTCCTTTAGAAGTTAACAACGAAATCTGCTCAGGGAAAAACATGAAAGTGGGTAGAAATCTTCTATACATACAGACTGTTCGATTCACCAACAAAAAGGCAGACTGCAGAGAAAACAACCATAAGAAAGAATTAGGCAGTGCTCCAGAAGATGCAAGCCTTCTGTGGAAATGTGCACATGCAGATACATAAACACATGCTCTGCAGGCAAAGAAACTACATTTCACATGGATGTCATTTCTTGATCAACAACAGACAAGAAACAGAACTAAACAGTAAGTCTATCTTTCAAGGGTTACCCATAATACTTTAATGTTACTGGGGTGGCACAATGACATAGTGGTCAGAACTGCTGCCTTGCAGCGCTGGAGCCCTGGGTTCAATTCCAGACCTGGGGTGCTGTCTGTGTGGAGTCTGCATGTTCTCCCTGGGTTTGCATGGATTTCCTCCGAGTGCACCAACTTTTCTCCCACAGCCCGAGGACATATTGCTATGTTAACTGGCTGCTAGGAAAATTGGCTCCGATGTGGGCGTGTGTGTCAGTGTTTGTGTCCGTCTACCCTGTGAAGGACTGATGTTCCATCCTGAGTGTCTCCTGCATAGTGCCCACTACTGGCCGAGACAGGCTCTGGCTCCCCCATAATCCCAAGTGGAAGAAGCAGTTAGAAATTTGATGGCTTTAATATCACTAAACCCTTACAAGCAGTTCTGTTAATGTTGCATTTCAAATCAAATGTCACCAGTGTTTTTGCGGGGGTGAGGTCAGACTGTATCGATGGCATCTCTGCTCTGTGCAGCAGTGACCATACTGCATCACTGGCCTATAAAGTATCTGAATCTGTCCGTGGGAATCTGACTCAGGAGCTCCTGATCAAGCTGGCCTGAACTACATGTCAAGAACACTCTCTGAAGATCACTGATGCACAACAGGTGCTTGACAGGACTAATTAACTGAATCTAGCCAACGTGCGGGTCAGTTCAAAAGTGGAGGTGTTCCCAAAACCAAGATCTGATCCTTGAGTACGTCTTCAAGCATAGATTCCTCTTTCATGTAGGCACCTCAGAACAGCAGCGGCACTAATCCTACATTTTACTAATCCTCACGTCCTGGGAGTGTTTGTGCATTTCTGGCAAAACGTTGCTCTGGTGAGACAATTCTTGGATTCCAGGACTCTTAAATATCTACTGTGTGCCAGCACCTTCTAAAATGCTTTAGTGGTTGCTCTGTGCACACTGCAAAGCCCGCCAGCAGATGTGCAAGGATTTTAATCCTCTTCTGACATCCGTAGCATCACAATGAGACAACTAAGCATTGGATGGCTTCACTGTTTTCACACCTCACATGTTTCAAAGAGAAAATGTTAACTTTAAAGTTAAGCTCAATCAAGTCTTCATTTCAGAAAGTACTTTTGCCTAATTAGACACCAACTCCTTTACCCACACTTAATACTGTACATATTTCAACAACAGGCTGCGTGTCTTGATGTGTAGTGTCTGGTGCTAGAGAGGACATACACACACTCTGGCAGCGCTTGAATTAAAAATAAAAAGTTCAGTTGCTTAATGCGTCTTAAACCTAAAGCATTTTCATTGAAATTTAATTTGAAATGTAATAAGCAGGGATTGTATTATCGAACTGCTAGAATAACAGGATGAATGAAAATGGACTTTTGATGGCACTACAATGTTTTCAGTAGATGTCTGGCTCACTTCTGCAAATTTAAAATCTGCCAATATTTCAAGAAAAAAATATGTTTTATTTGTGGCAAAACAGTGCGCTCATCAACATGCGATAGGAAAATCAATGAGAAATATAAGAATTATTACAATTCAGTAATAAATCACCTTCTGTCTCCATCTGCTGCCTGAAACCTTGAAGATCGTATCGATACTGTACATTGTCTCACTGAGGTTAAATAAATGCAGTTACTAACTTGTTTTCTGGATATGTGTGATACAGGCAAAGTAATTTTTTTCAAATGTCCACCATATTTACAAAAAAGAACATTTCTTTATAATCATGGCATTGATAAATATAACTGATAATTATTACAATAAAAGGCAGATCATGCTCTTAAAGTAATGTGAGAATAAATTGTGCAATAGAATGTCAGATAAAGGAAAAGCAAAAAAGACAAAACTTAGCTGAATAATAAGTAATTAGCTGAATAATAAATGAGGTAGACTATTCTGTTTTTTAGACAATGTTAAATCTGAGAAAAGTGAAACAAAAAGGTATTTTAAAGGACTGGCAATGTTTATCTCCTTGTGAAGCAACAAGGCTACTGGTTCGTGCAATTCAGTCAAACGAGATCTAGAGAGGGTGGAGTAGGCCTGCCAGTACACATTTCAATATATTAGCAAAGAGGGAAAGGGAAATGCTAATTAAGGATTAAGAAATAAAACACTGTAATAGATATACTGTACAATGACATGAGCCCTAGACAACACAGATTTGATAAAGGTGTATAACTCAGCTTTGGCCTTTAGAACAGATCAGCAATCCATCTTAAAGGCAAACTATAAAAATAGTTTCTAAGCAATTAACCAATGAAACACAAATGTACGAACGCAATCGGTTAACCACAATAAGAAACACAAAGTACAACACAAGCATCAAAGCTGAGGCACTGTATCGGCAGGTCAAAATTTCACTTGCATCCGGAAACTGAAAGCTCAGTTTCACCTACTGTTTGCCCAACTGGCTCAGACGAGAGAAAGCGTACCTAGAGGAGACACTAGTCTATTACTGTAATGTCACGACTTTCGGATTGATGATGAAATTCAGATGAAATTCTAGCTCGAAGACATACAGGAATAATTACAGAGTACAATTATGAAATTCATTTTTCTGTTTCAATAAAGCACAATCTTTTGGATGCTCTCTCTGCCTATACTTGAATCCATCTCTTCTGTCCATGTTTTACACACCTCATCCGATTCATGGTCGTAAGGAAGCCAGAGCCTATCCCGGCAAGCAATGGGCGCTAGCTTCATGCTTTTTTAAATAATTAAAACACATTACCCCTCCTTTACCAACATAAAGCCTTTCAAGTCACTTTAGTGGTTTCAGTCAGCAGTATGTGATGATACATGAAAGCTCCACTCCAAGTTCTCCTCATTGTTAGGAAAATGGAGGATATATGAACTGCAACGTAAGCAGTCAACTGCCAGCACACACTGAGGAGTTGGAGTGATTTTATTCCTGTGGCCTTCTTAACTGTGGGGTTGTAAAAGCTACCAGATGTTACTGAAATACTATACGCCACACTCAAGCCTACTTCAGAAAGAAAACATTTTTTTAAATTATAACTATTACAATTTAAGGCACACAGAAGTCAATTCAGTTTTCATGTAATGATTTATTGCGCCTATGGGCTCCTAAGTGAATTAATCTCATTGCAGACTCTCAGCCACGGTGTTCAGTAGCAACCAATCTATGAGTAAGGATGAAGCCAAACAATTCACTTTGCCTTCTACTTTCACAACAGCGTTATATTTTAAGATTACCTTTTTTGTTCTCCAATTTAATCACAATTCATTATTTTCACACCACATTTTATAATCTGAAACATCTGTGTTCAATCAAACTGAGTTCCTATTTCCAAAATCCATATTTTCCAAATGTAATCTAGAAAACTTCAAAGCTCTGATGATGCTAAAATATTTTTGTGTTGATACATACAACATTTTTGCGTGTCCCTTTCTCAGAACAAAAACTGATAAAATATTAATTTCTCCATGCTCCACCCAACAGCTGGCATTGTGCAGTTAGTCTTTGAATTGTAATAATCACTCTGTGTGGTCTAAAAGAAGTAACTGAGGTTTAACATGTCTAGAACTGAAAGAAATAAAAAAAAATAAACCAGCAACTTACAAAAGTACTGCAGACAAATCCCAAGATCTCAAGGTCACATTTATCACTTTTCACTTTCCCCCAGGTTCCACAGCTGGAAGAAAGCTGGTCACCGTCACAGCCCTGTAGCTTGATGTCTGAAGGAATCCTAATAACCGTGCCCAGCTAGAGTCCACATCCACCTCCCAACACAGTTCCTCCCTCTTCCAGCTCTTTCAACAGGCCTATCTGAGCCGGCTGTCAGCAGAAACTCATTTTTAAGAGTTAGAGGAATGCCAGCCCATGGTTCTCAAAACATATATTTAGCTGCTTAGAAATACGGTCACTGGTTCTGCATCCTTTACCATAAAGATAGTTGGCAAGGCAGTCTTTTGAGAAAAAAGCATACTAGAGGTTTTGTCATTTTAGAAAAAAAACATTCTGGATAAAAAAACAGGCCATATTTAAAGTTAAAAGTAAGGAGAGCTACAGAACGGCGATGCAAACAAAAGTCTTCACCACAGGCTTGAATTTAACCACTTAAAATAAACATTCAACAGAGAAAGTAACTGGTGTTAATACTGAATGTGTTGGCCTCTCCCAATTACAGAGGAGTGTTTCTCACATGATCATTTAATACTGTATGTAGTAGTTCAGGTGGGGAGCTGCGTCAGCATCCGTAGGCTGCAAAGGAACAGGTAATAGGTTTATTCCATGCTGATAAAAAGAAGAAAGAGAACATGTTTCGGCCGTGGAGCCTTCTTCAGGTGTGAAGAAGGCCTGAAGAACACCTGAAGAAGGCTCCACGGCCGAAACGTTGTGTTTTCTTTCTTCTTTTTTTCAGCATGGAATATACCTATTACTTGATAATTTTAAATGTTTACTGTAACTGTAAAGCTTAAAGCTATTGGAGTGTTTGTGTTTATTACAAGAGCAAACTTCACCTGATTCTGACTAAATAAAAGGAAGGCGGACTTAGGGGTAGATGGAAAGCCAAGAAGACAGGCTTCTGTTATTTAGAAAAGCACTGCACATAAAAAATACAGGAGGAGCTGGAAGGAGATCTCCTGGGAAAGCTAAGGCTGCTGCTGGAAGAGGTGTTAGTGGGGCCAGTAGGGGGGCGCACACCCTACGATCTTTGTGGGTCCTAATGCCCCAGTGTAGTGACGGGGACGCTATACTGTAAACAGGCGCCGTCCTTCGGATGAGACGTAAAACCGAGATCCTGACTCTCTGTGGTCATTAAAAATCCCAGGGCGTTTCTCAAAAAGAGTAGGGGTGTTACTCCGGTGTCCTGGCCAGATTTCCCATTGGCCTTTACTAATCATGGCCTCCTATAATAATCCCCATCTCTAAACTAGCTTAATCGCTCTGCTCTCCTCCCCACTGAGAGCTGGTGTGTGGGGAGCGTTCTGGTGCATCATCCAGGTGGGGCTGCACACTGGGGGTGGTGGAGGGGATCCCCATGACCTGTAAAGCACTGTGAGTGGAGTGTCCAGAACGGCGCTGTGTCAGGAAGGAACGCCGATGAGTCAAGCGGAGTCTCGGGCCCTCGTACCTAGCGACCGGTCCTTGGTCTGGTTGGTGGAGCGCACCACTGGGAGGCTGGCCCTGGAGCGGCTGCCCCTGGTGAAGGCTGCCGGAGCCTCTCCCTCGGACATGACTTCCCCGGACTCCGCCGCGGCCCCGGAGGGGTGCTCTGCCTGCTCCCCGGCGGCGTGCTTCGGGCTCCTGCTCTGGAAGACAAGACCGGGAGCCACGCTGTAAACCTCCAGACACACGCGCCCACCCACGGACGCCATCTCTCAGCCTGGCTGTCAGACACTCTTCCCCTCAGCAGAGAGGGACCCCATTCTCAATGGCCTGGGCTTGCTCCTTGATTCAGGAGGAGACACCCATTGAAATAATTTCAGTTTCAGCAGAAATAGAAAGTGACTCTGTAAAGCCAGTCTGTGATTTTTTTTAAAAAGTAACCCTTGGTCAGAATGAGCTGAACAATGAAGATTAATGTATTTGTTTCTTCAATGCTTTATTGTAGAGGCTAGCTTGATCCTGACTTACATGTACAGTCAATGGACACTTGAATTAATGATACAGGAACTGCATTCAATCACTCCACAAAGGTGGCATTAGATCAATCCATTCAAACCTACTATACCACCAGTACTGGGGTTTATTAACCCTGCACGATGCGAGTTAGGAGGTGCACACTCCCCAGTTCTTTAGTTTTTGTAAAGAGCACAACATGCTTGCAAAGACAAACTAAACCACTCAAATAAAAAGCTAACATCCAGGTTAAACAGTGATTAGGTCTGCATTCCACACTCTCTCCAGACAGTACGCTGTGTCCTCTCCTAAACAGAGCAATCTGCACATAGGGGCTGGATGAAGGTTAAGCTGCAGAGCAGAAATCACTAACCAGAAGAGAAGTGTTTATGTCGTATACAAGATTAAAATAATTGAATAACGAAACTGAATCAGTAAATAAATATAAAAAACATGCGCGGTATGTACAGTCTTAATCCTAACATCTATGAAATTACTTTTATTTTCGATGTACTCATCACACTTTAGCACACGCATCTGATTAGACCACTTCTGAAGGAGAGGAAGACTCTGAACCAGATCGAACACAACCAGTCATCACTGCGCTCATGCTGGTGTTTAAAACCAGCGTCATGCACCAATTCAAACAGCACACAACGTTGGAAACCCACAGCCACGGCAAGCAGTCAAAGTTATTTTTTTCCTTTCTTGACAATTAAAAAAACATTTAATTTTAATGGGGATGCAGAGGACCAGCAGTACTTATTTAAACATCATTTCTGACATGTTTCTGACTGTATGTCATAAGATGAAGTAAAACTGTAAGACACTTCACAGTATGCAATCCTAAGTCATTATGGAAATTTTATTTAATATGTACAGCAAGGGAATGCCTAATTGCATGGCAACTAATCAAACTGAAACTTCTGTTAATTTGGTTTATTGATTCATTGGCAGTCATTGTCCTCTGAACTGCTTCCAAATCCCTCGAATGCTTTTCCTTAGTCCATGGTCTCATAAAATGTCAAAGCGAGTGACCATTAAATCCTGTAACATGAACCATCCTGCACTGTTTAAATTGTAGCCAAAAGGTCACTTAACAGAAAGTCCTTTATGAGAGACACTAGATTCGGATATGCTCCGGCTAAAAAGCTCACTGTCTGCTAAAACAAATGGCTTCACAAACCCCTCCATGTCAGCCTGTTGCTGGCATGCACGGCTGTGAAGCTGCGAAGTGCACAGTGGGAAAGCAAACAGGTTAGTTGATATGCAAAGCGCAGAATAAAGAGCACACTCAACTCGGAAAGGATGCAGATAAGATAAATAGCATACTAACTCTCTGGGATGACTCGATTTTCAGTAAGTACCTTTGAATGTCAAGTTCAGAGTGAAGGGAGGCCAACATGCACTGTTTGGCCTAATGGACGGTGAAGGAAATAAAGGAAGGAAAAGATCAGCAAAAATACAAGATGGCAAATCTAAAACTTCAAAATCTAAAAGGCTGTGCCACACTGATGATTAAACAAAGGCTGATTTGGCTTCAAATATAGTAGAAATCAGATCATTTTTCTGTTCATGCTGCAACCCACATGTCTGGAAAAGTTATATGAATACTTCCTCCCTCCACATTCATTCAGTTTTTGTGAAACTCACCTGTACTCACCTGTACATAGCCAGCAGCCATATCACCCTGCAACTCACAACTGGCAACCCACTGAAGCTAAGCAGGTGTGAGCCTGGTCAGTACCTGGATGGGAGACCTCCTGGGAAAAACTAAGGTTGCTGCTGGAAGAGGTGTTAGTGGGGCCAGCGGGGGGCGCTCACCCTGCGGTCCATGTGGGTCCTAATGCCCCAGTGATGGGGACACTATACTGTAAACAGGCGCCGTCCTTCGGATGAGACGTAAAACCGAGGTCCTGACTCTCTGTGGTCATTAAAAATCCCAGGGCGCTTCTCGAAAAGAGTAGGGGTGTAACCCCGGTGTCCTGGCCAAATTTCCAATTGGCCCTTACCAGTCATGGCCTCCTAATAATCCCCCTCTATGAATTGGCTTCATTACTCTGTTCTCCTCCCCACTGAGAGCTGGTGTGTGGGGAGCGTTCTGGCGCACTATGGCTGCCGTCGCATCATCCAGGTGGAGCTGCACACTGGTGGTGGTGGAGGGGAGTCCCCATTACCTGTAAAGCGCTTTGAGTGGAGTGTCCAGAAAAGCGCTATATAAGTGTAAGCAATTATTATTATTATTATTATTATTATTACTTTGAAGACAATAAGCAAACTGTTTCCTTAAGGCTATGCTTTCAGATTCTGTAGGAACCAGGTTTACAGAACATTCTTTTTACAGAGGACCTGTCTTTACCTTTACCTCTTTCACTTGGGAAAGCGCAAATACTCCTCTGGGGGTGGTTAGTATATTTTAAAATGACTGTTGGACAAAACCCAACACCAAAACTGGTAAGAAGATCACAACTCAACCAGAAACCATATTACTTAAAAGACTGGAATTTTCAGCATATTAGTTCTACACTTACTGATGTTTCTAAGGACAGAACATGATTGAGAGAAAAAAGTCCTTTGTTTATTGTCCTATCAATGATAAGACAGCAGCAAATTATCGATTTGAAGAAAATTTTTAGCGAAGATTGTGAGGTTCATTCCAGAGATGAAGTCTGCTTTGGTTTTTCTCCGTCGGAAACATTTTTGTTTGATACTGGCAAGTTATGACACTAATGGTTGTCATCACAAAAAATATTTTTAACTTCTTTGGTTTTTATGTACATTATGAAGGTCTTTCTCTCCAGTCCCAGGTGTGTGTCTCTGAATTGTCTGCCACTCCTTTTCATACAGTCAGGCATCCTGTTCTTTCACATCCACATTATTTAAAGTTGGAACTGTACCTGCTCAACATTAGTGCCTTCCGCCGACATGAAACTCCCTTTACAGGATGACTTCTTGAACTGAAATACAATCCTTTCGAGTTTTCAACAAACTGCTGATTTCTTTTATATCTGTGAGTTCACTTTTAATCCCAGACATTGAATATTTAATTGAAAACTAGAACTAAAACATCTCGGTAACAAAAACGTCAATCAAATCAATACAATACCAATGTATTCTTGTATAGTGTTCATCATCACAAGTCATTCCCGAGCACTGAGATGAAAAATACAAGAAATTTGCTTTTATGATGCATGCATATTGTAAAAAAATAATACATCAGAAGAGGTGACTGTGCAGAAACAGGCCTAAGAACCCACTACCATGTCCTTCCTAATATCCCTTCAGTTGTTCTTCAGGTGCTATTAAGCAGTTGTGTTGCTTTTCCAGGCTACACATTAGCCTGCCTTTTCGTGTCAGATATGCACATTTAACAACCCAAAATGCGAGAGCATTTATTTCCTTTGTCACCCTCCTATAATTCATACCATTATGGGAGTCAAAGAATTTCTTCGGATGCAGCCATTTGAAACACACATTCAAGCCAAGACCGAGATAAATATTTTTCTTCCATAAGAAACACAGTTAATAAAAAACGAATTAAAACATTCAGTTATTGAAAGGAACTTTACACGTTTCCAGACTATTCGCTATCCAACAAATACTTTGGCTTTACTACACTACAGGTCTTAACAATATTGCTAGAAGCTATGAAAGACTTCGCATGTGTTATTTCTTCTGATTATTTGGGAAAATAACAAATTAAAGAGATAGACATCTTTATATAGATGTAGTTTGTCTCAGCACAAAACTAATGTATGGCGCTATGTAACACCAGGATATGTGACGCGTCCTGAATATTCGATGATTTTCAAGATGATTTTCATATTATGTGGACAACCTTGATCCACACTTTGGGACAACTGCCTCATCCACAGAACAGGTGAACAGCTGAAAGTTTTAGGATCTCTCCAGGCAGGTAGTTACTCAAGGAGGCACTCAATTTCAATCCCGGACATTGAGAAAGGATTAAAAGTCTAGAGAGCCTCACAGTGCCAGCTAGCCCCTGTTCATTCACACAGAATCAATACCATAAATCAATATGCACCAACAAGGATACTGTAAGTAAAAAGACAAAAGCATAATAAGATGTCATCATGCTAACAGGCCAATGGTTTTATTTCCATGGCCAGTAACTTTATCTTACGACCTGTCAGCACTCAATATTGTTTTGCAAAACAGAAAGCACTCACCAGGTAACAGCTGGCAGTCAACTTTGTTTTCTGATGTGTGTGTCTTATCTGGACATCTACTACAAACAGAAACCTAAAGCTTGAAAAACAGCTGAACTGATGAATGACCAGTAAATTAATTTTTATGTGGCAGGCATGTCCAATCTTCACTTAAAGATGCAAATTTGGATATACCTGAAACACCTGGTGTTTTCAGCAGCAAATGCACAAGCGGTGGTTCACTTCAGAAGACTGATCTCCATCAGCATTCCTTGTCTATGTCCAGCTTGTATCATAACAAAGGGAACAACAAATCATAAATCTAAAAGAGTCCAAATTCAAGCTGTATTGCAACATCCATCCACTGTCAAACCACTTTTTCCAATTCATGGTCATAGGGCCGGAGTCTGTCCTGGCAAGCAATGGGCGCAAGGCAGGGTACACCCTGGGAAGAACACCAGTCCATCGCTGGGCACAAGCAGACAAAAACAAACACACATGAGGGCTGATTTTCACAGAAGCTATACCAGGTATGTCTTTGGACCGTGGGAGGAAACCGGGGGCACCTGAAGGATAACTTCATAAAAACGGGGAGAATATACAGTACAAACCCTGTACAGATTACACCCTAGGAATTGAAGGCAAAACTCCAGCATTGCAAAACAGCAATGCGAGGCCAGCATAGACAAACAGTGATAGTCAGGCTGAACACATGGGTTAGACCACGAGCCGGCTGAGGCATGCAAAGCACAGCAGGTAACCCGATGAGCCCTGGAGGAAAGGTGCCGCCCAGAAAATCCGTTCCCAGCATTACAAAATGATCAAGTCAGCCTGTGGTTTTTATATGACATCCCAGCAACATGAAGTACAACGAGGTCAGCTGCAGGAACAGCAAAAACACCTTCAGGAAGTACAACAAGCCAGCATTCACTTTCTAGAATTATGTCTTTTTTTAAGGCAAAAAAACTTTCTGCAATTCTCAGCAAACGGAAAAGAGTCTTGCACTGACTTAAGATCATCCAGCTCAAGCTGATGCAAACACTAAAATCTCCATGTACAACCTCTGAATGATATTAACTGAGTGAGTAAGTATTAACTGAGTGATACTTACTACCCATAGTCCTTGAATAATGTCATTTGGTTTAAGGCCCTTTCTCTGACTGTAATGATTAAACCCAAACTCTCACTGAAGGGAAATTCTTATTTTAATTACAGTGCTTTATTTCAATAGGAAACAAATTAGAGCTCTGATTGTTGAGGATGCTGCTAGTACAAACAGCTCTGTGAATGACTGAGAGCACACAACTGGTCTAGTTTCACTTTATCCTTATGTCTGTTCAGTGAAGTGTTGCACAAGATCTTCTTATTTCTGCCTTTTAACAATATGCTGTAATTGTCACAAAGTGACTTGCAGGACAGAATCCACAATGATGAAAATGAAATATCCAATTCAGCTTGGGTGTGCACAAAGGAAGAAATCAACAACATTCCCCAGGCTGAGTAAAGATATTGTGAAGTAGGGGGCTGCATCAGTATGCGTAGGCTGCAAAGGAACAAGTAAAGGTTTATTCCAGGCTGAAAAGAAAAGAGACAGATCATTTTGGCTGTGAAGCTTCTTCAGGTGTGTCTCTTTTCTTATCAGCACGGAACAAACCTTTACTTGTTTCTTTGAAGATTGTGAGAGGACCAGGGGAAGGTTCATTTATAACTGGTATTTCCGGAACAAAACACTTAATATACTCGATATAGACCTGAGCAAGATGGCCGCCAAGGTGAACCAGCTGACCCGCTGTTGGAAAAGGCCTATGCAGCGAAACAAGGAGACACAGCTGAGCTACATCAGGAAACAGAATATAAATGCCCCAGCAGTGCAGAAGCCAATAAGGTGAATGCGTTTTGGAGGAAGAAGAGGATTAGGATTGTGTTTGAAAGGATTAAGGAACAAGGACTACGGACTACGGTTTATGGATTGGTGTGGACATATGGACTTTGGAATTTGGATTGTTTAAGGTTACTGGAGACGGATTACGGATCGGAATTGGAAAACATACGGACAAAGAAAAGAAGAAGATCAGTGTGGTGTGAGTAACATCCCTTTTACACCTGCTTTTCCCCCCGGCGACACCACAAGATAATGTCTATGCTTAATAATAATATCATATTAGAGGCAGAGGTGATACTAGATCATCAAAGAGTACTTCAGAACAAGCAAATCTCAAGGGCTGGATGGTATTCTACAGTTGTTCTT